AGTTTGGTCCCCCGACAGATACCAGGCAAGGGGGGACTCTGGGATGTGTTCTTCCTGCCCCAGGGCCCTGATTCTGAGTCACGGGATAGACCCAATTTCCCTGCACAGCCCCAGAGGCAAGCAGTGGCTGGCAGGGCAGGTGTGGCCAGAGCTGCAGGGGAGGAGGCAGCTGCAGGGGAGGAGGCAGCTGCAGGGGAGGAGGGAGCTGAGGGTGAGGCAGGAGCTGGAGAGGAAGCAGGATCCTCAGATGAAGAGGGAGCTGCCGGGGACACAGGAGTTGCAGGCGTGGCAGGATCTGTGAGCATGGCGGGAGCTGCAGCTGAGGCAGAGGCTCCAGGTGAGGAAGGAGCTGCAGGTGTGTCTGAGGCAGGGGCCCCAGAGGAGGCAGGAACTGCCGGTGAGGATGGAGCTGAAGATGTGGCAGGAGCCCCAGGTGAGAGGGAAGCTGCCGGTGAGGAGGAAGTTGGAGATGTGGCAAGAGCTGTGGGTGAGGAAGAAGCCACAGGTGAGGCTGGAGGCCCAGGAGTCCCAGGTGAGGCAGGAGCTGCAAGTGAGGAAGAAGCCGCAGGTGAGGAGGAAGCTGAGAGTGAGGAGGGAGCTGAGGGTGAGGAGGAAGCTGAGGGCGAGGAGGAAGCTGAGGGTGAGGCAGGAGCTGGAGAGGAAGCAGGAGCGTCAGATGAAGAGGGAGCCTCAGGGGACACAGGAGTTGCAGGCGTGGCAGGATCTGTGAGCATGGCAGGAGCTGCTGGTGAGGCCGAGGCTCCAGGTGAGGAAGGAGCTGCAGGTGTGGCAAGAGCCATCAACGAGGCAGCAGCCCGGAGCCAGCACTGGCGGCAGACGTTGCAGTCTCTGCTCGATGCTATGGCCTACCGGGCACTGAGAAGGTTTTCTGGGGTGGAAGAGCCGGGCTGTGGAGAAGAGTCTTTTGAGAGCTGGCTGCACCATGCCAATGACACGCTGTACCTGTGGCGCCACATGTCAGAGAGGGAGAGGAGGAGCAGACTGGTGGAGAGCTTGGGTGGCCCCGCGCTGGATCTCATATGCGGCCTCCTGGAGGAAAATCCCGACACCCCTGTGCAGGACTGCCTGGCCGCGCTGGTGCAGGTGTTCGGGAGCAAGGACGCCCAGATGACCGCACGGCTGAAGTTCCTGACTTGTGCGCAGAGGCCCCAGGAGGCTCTCTTTGCCTATGTGATGCGCCTGGAAGGCCTGCTGCAGGCGGCCTTGGAGAAGGGGGCCATCCGGCCCGCCATCGCAGACCAGCTGCGCGCCAGGCAGGTGCTGATGCAGGCCCGGCCCAACGAGACGCTCGAGAACAAGCTGAGGAGGATGCGTCTGGAGAGGAGGCCGCCTGGCTTCCTGGGGATGCTGCAGCTCATTCGGGAGACGGAGGCGTGGGAGGCCGCTCCGGCTAGAAGTGAGCAGTTCCACATGGAAGAAGGGGCCCAGCTGGACGTTGGAGACCTAGCCACCTGCCAGGGTGCCCTGGCCCATGAAGATGCTGCCCCGGCCCGTGAAGATGCCGCCCAGGCCGCCCTGGCCTGTGAAGATGCTGCCCGGACCCATGAAGATTGCCTCCCAGCCAATGAGGTCACCACTGAGGGCACCCCTGTCACTGCAGAAGAAAGCAAGCCTTCCCCACCCAAGGAAGATACCACCCTGGCTGCCCTTTCCAAGCAAGACACAGCCGAGGCTGCCCCGGCACGTGAAGTGGCCGATGGGGCAGTTCCTGTCACAGTCGACCCTGGAGAGGCTGCTCCTGACCCCCATGATGCTGCCCAGGCCGCCTGGGCTCGTGAAGATGCTGCCCAGGCCGCCCTGACCTGTGAAGACACCGCTGACGCTGCCCCGGCCCGTGAAGAGGCCGATGAGGCAGCTCCTGACACCCGTGATGCTGCCGTGGCAGCCCCTGCCCCTGAGGAGACCACCAAGTCCTCTTCTGCCACTGGGGAAGGTGAAAATGTTCCTACTCGTGCGGGGCTAGGTCAGGCAGGACGCTCGGGGGCCCCCGGGGGCCCCACCCCTGCTCAAACGGTCAGTGCTTCTGGGGCGGGCCCAGGAGGTCCTGGCAGTAACCCGGAAGGCCTCGCCCAGGTGGGAGACCAGGAGGCCGAGCAGACCCCCAAGGAGGGGCTCATCCAGGAGGAGCCAGGAAACCAGGACGGGGCTGAGGAGATGAGCCGCCCCGAGTCCTCCTCGGGCAAGTAGGCTCAAAAGGCCCAGGGGCCCCCTCTCCTCCCAGGCAGCAGAGCCCTGGAGGCAGGGGG